GTTTGCTTGGGTGGACAAGAATTAACTAATGTTGAGGAATTTAGGTATCTAGGAGTTCTGATATACTCGAAATTATCTTTTAAAAAACATGTCAAAAAAGTTGTGAAAACTGTAAATGTTAATTCACGGAACTTTAAACAGATTCGTACATCATTAACGGATACAGCAGCGATTACGTTCTTGCACTATACTGGCTCATATTGAGTACTGTATCACAAGTTGGTCTTATACGAGTTATGCTGCTATTGGGCCAATTGAAGTATGCTACAAAAGAGCATTGAAAATATTAGATAAGAAACCTTCGTCATATCATCATTGTAATATTCTAGATAAATATAAGTTTTTAAATTTTGCGAATTTCAAATTATTTAAATCAGCCTGTCTAATCTATAAAGTTATACATGGTCTGGCACCTCCACCATTAAGTGATTTTATTAAACAAAAGTCTATCAGTGCTGCCGGGTCTCGAGTGACTAGAGCCACTATGAGAGGTGACTGTGACTTGGCGTTTAGGCGGACCGCCTTTTCACAGAACGCTCTATCATATCAGGGGGTGAGCTCCTGGAATAGTATTCCTCAGTCAGTGAGGGAAAGCACAAGTTTTCCTATTTTTAGGAGTCGTTTAAAATTATGGTTGAGGGACACACAAATATGTGAGCATGTTTAGTAATCATTAGTATATATATCAGATGTAAAATAGAGTTAGTGAGTGTTATACAAAAATAAAGGGGATAGAATTATCAGTGTGATATGGGTTGTGTAATAGGAGTTAGTATAGCATGGGTTGTGTAAAAGGGGTCAGTGTAATATGGGCTTGTATGTTGTTATCACTGTTATTGTCCTTGCTTCTCTGCATATAGCCTGTGCATAGTGGCCCTCATTTATCAAAAGTGCGTACACCAAATTTCCAGCGTACACCCAAAACCACGGTGACTTTGAGATTTATCAATATGGACGTTGGCGTACGGCACGCTCAAATCCTACGCCAGCTCAGGAGGTGGTGTACATGTACGCACGTTTTGAGTTAGTGCGGAAATGCGCAGAAAAACAATTCCTAACACCACAAAATGCACTGACAAACTAAAAGATATTATATATTATGACCCACTGTAAAACAAAAAAACAACAACATAGTAATTATAAACTTCAGTGTTTATTTTTGTGCAACATGGACTTCAATGTTTAATTTGTGTGACTTTACCAAAGCATTTGATTTGTAAGCATATGTATTCCTTCAGTTGCGAGCCTGTGCGCTTTACCCTGACGTTTCAGGGTTAGGCCCGGCAGGTGCGCACGGACTGGGTTCGGTAACGAAAGGCTTTCATGACCAAAAAATAATTCAGACTGACAAAATAATAAAAAATACATTCTTCTTCTTTTAAATAATAATAATAATACAAATAATAATAATGACATTCTTCTTCTAAATAACAATAAGCGTCATTAATAATACAAATCATACTAATAATAATAAGAATATTACAAATTGTCATGCAATTATTAATGTGAATGAATGGTACTCCACATCACATCATCATCATCACTATTGTACACCCCAATACATGTAACGTGATTCGAAATTGAATGCTAATTCAAAAGACGTGCTGTAAAATATTGCATTGTGATAGGTCATTTCGGCTCCACGTCAGAGAAGTTTCTCTTCTTTGCCGTCTTCCGTGTGTCCATGGCGTAAAATGAGGGCGTGGGGGAAGCGGAGACTTGAATATATAGGGGCGTGTTATTCTAATGACGATCGTTTTCAGCCGCGGGATTTATCAAGGGCAGGTATTCCGTACACCTGGATTTCAAAGGTACGCACAGCTTCATAAATCAGGCGGTGAGAGGAGTGTAAGCATAATCTTACGCCAACATATACGCCCGTTTCTACGCAAGAATGATAAATGAGGGCCACTGTGTCTATATGTTTTTATGTGTAACATCTACCTGCTTGGGGGTCTGCAGATGGAAATTAGCCTATATGGCTATAATCTGGCATTTTTACATTTGTAAAAAATGTTCATTAATATGTATTGTCCCTTTTGTCTTTTTTTCTACAAATAAAAAATAAAATAAAAATAGTTAATACATTAACTAATGTTTAATAAATTAACCTTATTGTAAAGTGTTACCAATATGTTAATGGATTTGTAGTATACTTATTATGAAATAAATGTATTTTAAATACATACGTTTTCAAATACGTTTTTTTCACTAGGGAATCTACAGATGCAAATAGAAAAAGTGTAAAAAAAAAAAAAAAAACACATGCCAATTTTAGATTAAACCTATGGTTTTGCCTGTAGTGTCTTGCCTTAAAAGACTAAACTCTAGGGTTGGGGGGAAAGATATCCATTTACCTATTAATTGAGATCTTGTATAAACCACAGACCACAAGCGTCAGCTGGCTGAGTCTGGGTAAAAACAGTGATAATCTGATCAGACAGTCATTAAAAGATGAGCTCCATGGGGCGCCTTCACCCAGTCTAGCAGTGGTATGAGCTCAGCTAACGCTGGCTAAAACAACATACGGACTACTGAGAGAGGCAGAGGCAGAGGCGGGACAGAAGAATGAGAATGATCAGACCCCAGGCTGCAGCTAGTAATTAAACCACAGTGACCATATGTGTGACTGAGATAGAGAGAATGTCACAGGGATTATAGTGATCGGGGACATCCGAGATAAATGTTTTTGGAGGGTGATGCAGTAGACACCTAAGGCAGTGTACAACACCGGTCATTTCTTCTCAGCTAGTGAGGGAGTATGTATGAGTGACCGGATAGGACTTCAAAATGAGATATGGGACTAAATACATTTAAAGTTGATTATAAACCACATCCTTTCTAAATAAATGAGCTAAAGTCAAAAATGCTGTTTTATTAAAATAAACACAGTAGACAAATTTATGTATAAAACGAAATGCCTTTATTTATACAACTTTAAAAAAGCAATTTAAAGCACAAAGACTTTAATAAACATTTTGTCCTGCATAAAAATGATCGCATATTGTGCTTCCTTTGCAAAGTCTGTACAACCTCTGGGTGTGCAGCTGTTGCGATCCAGTTCAACCATTTATTGCATACACATGAAATACACGTCAATTTATAACTCAAGAATGAAAAATAAGGGTCAAAAAAGAAGAGGGAAAAAGATCAACCACACTTCTACCGTTTTACAATTCTAAAATGCAGCAGCTTGCAGAGGAAGGCTTTGCACATTGTCCAGACTGGAAATATATATTAAGAGAGAGAGAGAGAGAGAGAGAGAGAGAGAGAGAGAGAGAGAGAGAGAGAGAGAGAGAGAGAGAGAGAGAGAGAGAGAGAGAGAGAGAGAGAGAGAGAGAGAGAGAGAGAGAGAGAGAGAGATGAGAATAAATTAATTCAAGAAACTATAGTTGTGCTTTAACATTGCTTACTTAAAGGAGTTCACTCAAATGCAAACAACGTTTGGTAAACACAACTCAAAAAGGAGGCTGCTTTGAAACCAGGCTTTCAAGATCAGACATGCTGTTCCTAGTCTCTCTTTTCCCTTTAGAAATATGTAGCGCTGAGCGTTAGCTCTACATCAAGATTTGCACACATGCCCATAGATAGCAGTGATTAATTAAATTCCCAGTTTCCTTCTATATTCACTCTATATTATAAAAATCTAGACTGGAGGTAAAAAAAAAAAAAAAAATTATCAAAAGGCATTTCTTCAGATGAGGAAGGCATGTATATACCACCACAAAATGTTCCATTAATCACACCATCTTTCCAAACTAAAAAAAAAGAAGAAAAAAAGACAAATGCTCCATGGCCTTCCATATTCCAAAGTTTAAGATAACAATAACGCAAACTTTAGAGACTTTGGTACAGTATAAATTAAATAGCTCTCTGCCTTTAAACATACATCTGTCTGCCCATTAAGCGACAAGTATGAAATGTGCATAGTATTATATGTGAGATCCCTGTCGGTGAAACTACAAGCAACCAGATTTTAATGGAAAAACATGATTTTTAAACCAAAAAGGTCAACACAAATGTATGCCACCAGGCTAAAGCACCCATAGTCTCTAAAAGCTATCTCTGCTAAACAAACCAGAAGCTTTGAAATAAAACATTTAGAAATGTCACATTTTTCTTCTCTGACATTTACCTTCTGATAATCTGAAGCCAAAAGCCCACACTAGAATGTGAACATCTGTTCTGAACAGCAGGTTGTCAGATAATGGGATATCTCGCCATCTTGTCGGCTGTAGTTATGTGAGATTAAGATCGACAGGATTCAGCCAGGTGGAGGTTTTACTGCTGAGGTCAAGAGGCTGAACGCTCTGAGAAACGTTAGGAAGTGACACGGCCAAAACTCTTGAACTCAAGAAAATATTCCCATCTGCAGTCTCAAACACTTGGCTGCACTAGTCAGAGGGCTGTGTAGTATTATATTGATGTGAGGAGACGCTTTTGGATAAAAAAAAACAGATGCTATAGTCTTACATGCAAATCATTTCACTATTTTAATGAGGAAGTACTTATAATGTGTTTATTTTAATACATGAAACTGCATCTTTTGCTTGGCTAAGATGCTAATTATTGAACTGCTTTTGCTCTACATAAATGGCAACGGTGTTTTTGACACTCAAAACTAAGGGAATTAGATGTTACCTAAAAATAATAATATTACAAGAACTAATACAGTTGTCCAAAAACAATTTGTATATCAAAATAATTCAAATTGAGGGAAAATTGAGGAAATGGCTACAATACGGCTACAATAACCTTGCAATCGGCAAACAAAAGGTGGAAATTCCCTTATGAAATGATTCACTGCCAACAAGGCATGAGAAAGAAAAAAAAACTTGATTGATGTCAGAAATTAATTCACAATTCATCACATGGTTGTATAAAGGCATCCTCACCACACACGCATGCCACACAAGTAAAGTGCATGACCAGTCTACATGTAGCACAATTCAACTGAGGTTTGACTTCTTACTGGGATGAACACAGGTTATATTCTGTTATATTCTAGGCTTTGTGTTTGATAATCTACCATAGTGGTGTCTTAATACCTATAGCAATGTTTCCTGAAATCTGTTGTAAACATGAAGCAAGGGACCTACGACCTACTCTCTAAAGCTTTAAGTGCATTATGGGCAGGACTGGGCCGCATTAGTGACAGCTCAATCTGATTGTGGCGAGGTTTTGACAGAGCAAAGGATCATGAAATGCAGGTTGAAGGCTGGACAGTAGGTTGAACAAAAGGCGTTGTGTTTCCTTCTAATGTCAAACCGATTTAGTAAACCTTCACTGAAACATAATAATGCTACACTTGAGGACATTTTCAGCATTTTTCTCCATAGCTTGTATGCATTAGTGTTAAGCTCACAGGCTACAAACTTAAATGACTGTTGCAGCAAACTTTAGTTTGTTCTCTACAATTTATTTTCAATGTTTTTGCCTGTCTGGTGACTGACTATTTTCTGAGCTTTACTTTGGAAGAAGGTTCTGAAAGCTTCTTTTCGATCCCACATCTTGACTGAACTATGCCCAAATGTGGCAAATCTCAGCAGACGTGTTTCTCACTCAAAAAACCTGCAGATCTGGAGCTTTGAATATTAAATACCTAAGCCCTCCCTCTTCCTCATCCAGACACACGCTGCAAGCAGCTGCGTTTGTACCTAATTAAAACCTCAGCACAGACACCAGAAGCACTGCAATTACCGTCTCAAACTGAAAAATCAGAGGACTACCGAAGTGTTCAGCCATTTTTTCCTCCATGCTAGACACAGTGGCCCTCACAGAGGCAGTCAGGAAGAGGACGTGAGGGTTTTAAAGAGATCTTCGAGGTGTGCTCCGCTCTAGTTGTGCTTTGCCCTGCCTCCTTTCAGGTAGCTTTTCCAGCGTTTGACGAAGTCCCTGAAGATGGGCGAGTTGTCAATAGTACCCAGCAGCTGTAGCTGGTTGATGTGCGTTGTATGATAGTCCCAACGGGCCAGGTTGGGCGCCATGCCCAGTATAAAGTGGCGCAGGTCATAGATGGTGCCCGACCCCGTGTCATATAGGGGCAGCATAACTTTCAGAGACTCCATTCCCTTGCTGTACAGCTGACCTGCATCCCGACCGAGTTTCTCACCTGCGGTTTGCGCCAGGTCATACAGGCCTACGAGGGAATAGATGAACCCGTTCAGAACGAAGGAGCTAGGGATTGTGGGATACTCCTCATACCAGTCATACTTATTCATAAACACGGCTTTGACGCCGTGCTGCTCCGATGGCAGTTTGAAAGGTCCGGTGGCACGCAGGGCAGCCTTTAAGTACATGTCATCTTTTGTCATCAGGTAGGCACGCACTAGAGTGGACATGGCCTGCCCCTGCGCCATGGCCGAATACCAACCCGGCTCCAGCGCATGGAAACCTTCCCCAAGTTTACGAGTCACCATGATTGGCCAACCACCACGCTCGTCCTGGTTGCGCACCAACCAGTTGCTGGCGGCGAAAAAAGCCGCCATATGTGAAGTGGTGGAGATTGTGATATTGTCTATCATCCCGTGGCCGTGCAACAATAACTTTACGACACGTCGGGGCATGGTCTTGGTGGCTTTGACCGCTTTGGTGTTGGAGAGGCCAATGCCTTTGCGGAGGTCAGTGAGAAGGTCACGGGTGACCGTGGTCCATGCTGTCCGAGGGCCGATCCCATAGGTGATGTCACGGTCCTTAAAAGAAATGAGCTGGGTAGTGGTGACATAGTGGATAACAAACGGAGGCCCTTTCTCTGTGGTCTCCAAGATGACAGAGACGCTACCATTAGATGTGAACTTCAGGTCAAAAGAGATGATGAAATCTTTAGTGTTGCCAAGAGGAAGTGAGACGCCCTCTGAGTTTTCTAAAACACAAGGAATAGAAAAAAGGAAATGTTACAACACATTTAACAGGATGTCTACTAGGCTTGGATCCATAGCAAAATGTTGGCTTTGGTACAACAAAAAAACTCATGGTACTGATACTAAATCGATGCCATAAACAACAAATAATCAACCTTAATGACTATTAAGATTAAACTGAAAATTATTTAAGTAACCGCACAGTATAAACCATTGCAAGTACAAAGGTTTGTTTCATGTTTTTCCAAGCATTTTAATTTCAATAACCCTTAAACTTTGTTTTCCGTTGTTTTTGATTTGACAAAAAAAATTTTTTTAATGAAGATTTTTTAAAATTGATTATAAAATGCAACAAGGGTGATTAATTGTTGACAGAATTTTCATTTTTAGATTAATTAATTATTAATATAAAAACATGCAGCTCAAACTAAAAAAGTTTTCTGAAATTATTAGGGAAGTGTTCATTTGTTGATGAATGTCAACCTGTGTATAGCAGCACATTGGCATGACATGGTATTGTTTGCAGACTGCTGCAATTTGGTTCGCCATTTTAGTTTTGTCTGTGCACAAAAATTCTATTTTTCACGTTATCACCATGTGCTGCACTTCACACCATGTAAACTAACAAACTGTTGTCTGGTAACAAAATTTGTGCAATATTGATATCACATCATTTAAAATGTTTGCATCGCAGTATTATTATCGGTATAACGCCTACAGAAACTTTCTCCCGTTTCTTTACAGTATCATATGCATAGACACACTTGTTCATACAGATTCACACACACTAAGAGATAGTACTTGGGAATAGTGATGGTACAGGTTGTCTTGAAACCACAAGGTTTCATTTGTCACTTTCTCTTGGGGTTAATTAAACAGACACATTGGTGTCAGAGGCAGAAAGTGAAATAACCGTGAAATAACTTTAAAACAATCTATCTGACATTGGACAGTGCTAAAACTCATTTCTCCTCCAGCAGACTGTTTGGTACACACTGCAGTGCAACTCACTGCAAAGCGAGCAGATCAGTGACCCAACTCTCAATCAAAGTACTTTATCTCTCTTTTTACAGAAATGCACATTCAACACTTCATCCTAAAGTCATCTCTCATTGTTAGTGTCAAATCCCTCTCGCTGCCTCTGTCTGTGTTGCCTTCTGACAAGGTTATGCAGAACAAAAAAGGAAACCTATTCATACCCTCTACTGAGAGGAGAAAAGGAGGCATGAAAGAGCAAGAGAAAAAGAATAAGGTTGAAGACTTAAGCAAGAGTAAACACCCAAGACGGAGTAATATCAACAACATTAAAGCAAGACAGATAATGGGACAGGAGAGGGATAAAGGACAAAAGTCAATCAAAGGAAAAGAAAAAAGGCAGTAGAGGGCATTTTGCCTCAAACAGCCCCTATCACTATTTAATGCACTCATAAATCCATTACTTAAGGCAATGCAGAGACTAAGTGGATTTGTACTGTCCTGCTCTGATTACCCTCGCATCAATAGCAGTGATGTGGAGGACGGAGAGAGCGGGAGGAAGGCAGCACCCTGCTGGAGCCCTGGACCCAGTGTGTCCTAGTTGGCTCCACTCTAATCAATGCTCTGGGTGATGACACCAATTACTGCCTGCCAGCGTGACAGCCCTGCTAATTCTAATGGCTATTGATTAGCTCAATGCTAAAAAGCAGCACGGTGTGTCCAAGACCTCAGAAATGCTGCCTTTTCATGCGGTATCCTGAGGGAGGAACAGAATGTACTGTCTACTGCGTGCGATGCCTCCATCTGGTAGATTTCTGAAGGCAGCATAGATGTCTCCTTCACTACCTGCGATACCCTATAATCACGTGTGTGCAATTTGGCAAACAAATGTTGAAAGAAATATGTTTTCTGATGAAAGAAGGTTTTTTTTTGGCATATGATTCTATTTTTACAGACAAACAAGCATTGTAGTCATTAAATAGCCTCTTTGTTAGTTTTAAAAGATGACAGTGGCGCTTGAATATATCTTAACCCTTAAAGACCTATACGGCCGCCGGCGGCAAAAAATAACTGTTGTTCTTAAATGTTTAAGAACTTTTGAACCGCTACTCTAATCCGTATGCTTTAAAAAGTCCCATAAAGAGGAGATTCACAGCTTTTCTGATATCGGGTTAATCGCGACTGGACATTCAGAAGCTCTGTAGTGAATGTGATTGCGTCATCAAGTTTTGATCAGCATTGATTCGTCAAAGAAACCTGTGCGGGTTGTTCCTCTGAGCCAATCATGAATGATTGTTGATGCTTAGTCCAACCCCATGCCCAGATTGGTTAAAACTATCATCTACTCAACCAATAAATATAGTTTTTGGTCTTTTGCCCGACCAATTAGCATCTTTCTTTGTAAATTTTAACTGAGGCACGGAGGTAAAGTGAAAGTAGTTCATATATGTATGTATATATGTGTGTGTGTGTGTGTGTGTGTGTATATGTGTGTGTGTTCAGCAACTATAGGAAGCATGTTTATTTGGAAAAGACGATGTTTCCTGTACCCTTAGAACTCTTAACCCTTAGTAATTCATAACAATGTGCTGATTTGTTTTAATCTGTTGGATTATTCAAAAAATTTGATTCCAAATGAAATTAACTTGTAATGTGGAATCAAATAAAGTATATATATATATAAAGTTTATTTTGCTTCAGTGTTCTATTACAATTAGTCTATTATTTTACTTCCTGAACTTTTTTGGACACATCTAAATTGTCAGTAAATAAAAAATACCAGCCTATAATACCACTGAAATCGCCTATAATAATGTTGTAATAAATGTCTATAACTTGCTTAGAGATTGTTACATGTAGTCAAAATTACATCTGGAAATGTAGAATGTCCAAGTACAGCTTCTAAAGAAAAGAAAAAACTAACTTCAGGAGGATTTGTTTGAGTTGAGTAAAAAAAAAAAAAATCACTAAAAATATGCTGCCGTTTGTCTTAAATCTGGTAAATTCATCCATTCTAAGATAAAAAAAATTAAAATTGGATTATTTAAATGAGATAGATTGAAACTTCAAGTTCTCCTGTTTAAAATGATATATGGCACTTGATGCTGACTGCTATAATGGGTTATAAAAACAAAGAAAAGAACAGGCGGTGCAGGTGCTCCAAAAAAGGGTTAAAGTGTAATTTATTCCTGTGATGGCAAAGCTGAATTTTCAACATGATCCTTGAGAAATTCTAATGATCCATTCTAACATTCAATTTGGTTCTCAAGAAACATTTCTTATCATCAATGTTAAAAACTGTTTCGTGGAAATTGTGATATTTTTTTCAGGATTCTTTGATGAATAGAAAATTCAAAACATTTATTTGAAAAAGAAAAAGGTAATTTTTGCATAACATGATTTCCATTACACGAGAGTAGATGTTAAAACTTCATGCTGATTTGTACTCGGCTTTCGCCAAGATAAGCAAAACTAAGACGTAGCTTTAACAGTAAACTATGCTTCTCCATCCATTTACGCTTCTTTCCATAAGGTAGTGTGACTCCCCTTCTGTCCGGCGTTAACGGCAGCAGTGTACTTGGCGCATTAGCGCACGCGACGGCTGCAACTACAGGACCAGCACGACAACCGTCTGGATTGAACCGAGTAGGGGACATCCCTAGGGTCTTCAAGTGGGCACCTTCCGTCCTCAGTGTTTCGTCGACTAGCCCACGACACCTCAAGAGGGCTCGACAGTGACTCTGGCGTCCCAGAGTCACCCCCCTCCGTCCCCAACTCAACTCAGCCCAGCTTACTGACCTCTACATCCCTCCTGCTGCTGAGACCTAACCACAATATCACAATCTCTCCCCGACCCAACCATACGCGCCAACCCGTTGACTAAGGCTGTCGAGCCCCACTGGTGCGTTAATATGCAGTTTCAGTGGACAACGGTTCCGTATGGCATACCACCTACCGCAAAACACAATATCTACCAACCACCTGTCATTCACGCAATATCCACAGGAACGTATACAAACAAACCAACAGACTCTTTAAGTTTTCAAGAACTCTACGAAACCGTAGCGTGGCGGCCTGTACACAGCCAGCTTGAATCTTTCCGTCTCAACCACAGCCAGTTGCTGCTCCTTTCTGCTGCTTCAGATAAGTTCTTTACTGTGCGACGCAACTCTTGGCCACTGAATCCGACGTCTCTGAGGAACCGGGTTGTAGAGTGTGCCACAAAACCTCGACAACCCACTTCCACTGGATAAACCTGGACTCTCCATCCTCGCTGTTCTACTTCAGTGGCCAGATGAGCATACCGCAGTTTCTTCCTCTCATATGCCTCATCTACCGCATCCTCCCATGGCACTGTTAACTCTATCAGTTGAACAATGCGTGCTGATCCAGACCACAAAACAATATCTGGTCGTAGGTTAGTGGTGGCAATCTCAGGTGGAAAAATAAGCCGTTGGTCAAGATCAGCCAGCATCTTCCAGTCCCTAGCAGCTTCCAGTTGTCCTGGGCGAGAATTGGTGTTAACACCTTTTCTTGGTGGTTGCTCGCCTGGGAGGAGGAATATTGTCTTCTGCGTGTAATGTTTTGCTAGAACAGGTGGCAACTCATTGGTCATGTTACGCTTGCCTTCTAATGCTAAAGCCAAACATCGCAGTACTTGGTCATGGCGCCAAGTAAACCGACCTTGGCTAAGAGCCACCTTACATCCTGTCAAAATGTGCCTTAATGTGGCAGGTGATGAACACAAAGGACAAGAGGGATCCTCTCCTACCCAGAGGTTTAGGTTCTGCGGTGATGGGAGAACATCATATGTTGACCTAATAAGGAAACTGATCCTACTCTCTTCCATTGACCAAAGGTCTTGCCAGCCCATCTTACGTTGTTCCACACTCTCCCATCTCATCCACTCTCCCTGCTTGGCCTGTGAAATGGCCTTTATACACCTCATCCTCTCCTCCTGCTGTCGCACCTCGTTGACTACCAGCTTCCTCCTTTGAGCTGGGCCTGCCTTGTGCCATTTAGGAGGAGCTAAACTGAGCCCAAAACCCCCTCTTCCATGCTGTACCTGTCCCACGATATCCCTAATTTGAAGGGCAGCCTTTGCCTCTACTACAGATTTCTTTGCTGACCACTTTCTACCAGTTTTTAACACAGGGGCTGCCTCCCTTACACATTTGTCGCGTGACTCTACTAAGGTCATTTCCAGTCTGACCTTGGCACACTTGAACTCCTCGGTTAAAGCAGAGACTGGCAGCTGCAATATTCCTTTACTATAAAGTCCTAGTCTGCTGTGGCAGCGTGGAACTCCCAACCATTTCCTGATGTATGAACTTACCAACGCTTCCAGCTTATCCACTGTTGTCAAAGAAACCTCGTACACGGTCAGTGGCCACAGCAACCTCGGCACCAAACTGAAAGCACCAGAGTTTTAGTTTACCAGGTAGAGCACAGCTGTTTATGCTCTTCAACCCTTCCACTGCTTGTCGTCTAACTTCTCCCACCCGAACTGTGTCCTTTAGATCCCCATCGTACCATCTCCCAAGACTCTTCACTGGCTTCTCAGAAACTGTTGGTATTGCCTCACCATTAATGAAGAATGTTTTTTCTACTACCTTTCCTTTAACTATCGAGATGCTCCTTGATTTAGAGGGCTTAAATTTCATTCGTGCCCATTCAATATTATCTGTTAACTTCCCCAATAACCGATTAGTGCAGGCTACTGTTGTAGTCATGGTTGTCATGTCATCCATGTATGCTCTGATTGGTGGTAGTCGCATCCCAGAAGCCAAGCGCTCTCCTCCTACTACCCATCTTGATGCCCTCATGATTACTTCCATCGCCATGGTAAAAGCCAGTGGAGAAATGGTGCATCCTGCCATTATTCCAACCTCTAGGCATTGCCATGCAGTGCTGAATTTTGGAGTTGAGAAACTGAATTGCAAATCTCCAAAATAGGCTTTCACTAAATTTGTTATTGACATTGGTACTCTGCCCAAAGAAGCTCATGTGGCACTGAACCATATGCATTAGCCAAATCCAGGAATGTCACATGGAGCTCCTTCCTCTCCTTTTTAGCTGACTGAATTCGTTGCCAGATAACATTGATGTGTTCTAAGCATCCTGAAAACCCTGGAATACCCGCTTTTTGAACTGAGGTGTCAATGAAGCCATTCTTTAACAGGTAGGTGGACAATCTCTGGGCAATAATGCTGAAGAAAATCTTACCCTCAACGTTTAATAGTGAAATAGGACGAAACTGACTGATGCTTGTAGCATCTTTTTCTTTAGGTATAAAGACTCCACCTGCTCTGCGCCATGCTCTAGGTACAACCTGTTTTTCCCATGCCACTTTTATCAATTTCCACAGAATTCGCAGAACTCCTGAAGCACTCTTGTACACTCTGTACGGAACTCCATTAGGCCCTGGAGATGATGAAGCCCTTGCCTTTCTCACAGCCTGCTCTACCTCTTTCCACTTAGGTGCACAGACCTCCATTTGGTATTCTGGTGGGTTGATAGGTGGTATGTCTGATGGAATTGACATAGGCTCATGCCTTTTTGCATCTGTATGCGTGTCCTCCAAATATCTCTCTAGCTCAATCCTAGATGTTTTTAAAGTGCCATTCTTCTCACTGGTGAATAACTTCTTTACGAATTTGAATGGGTCTTTATAGAAATTAGCCCTCGCACGTTCCTTCTTTTTGTAGCGTTTCTGTAGGCGCTCAGCTCTGCGTAATGTTGCCAGCTTATCTTTTATGGCCCTTTGTAAGAGATTGAGTCCCTCCTTCTGACTTTGTTCTGCTCTTTTCCATTGCTTCCTCAGCTGTCTCCTTTCTCTAACTAACCCTTCAATTTTCTGCTGCCGTCTAGACATTCCAGGAGTAGTTTGTACTTTTTCCTTCCTTTTTTCCACACCAAACCTCTCACTTCCATATGCGTAAATGATGTCCCCAAATTTATCCAGCTTCTTTTCAACTGTACCAGTTAATCTTTCCAATGCAAAGCATAGATCTGTGTTTACCGTGTCCCATGCAGTTTTCTCACAAGCTCTTGGCCATCTAACTCCAGGCCTATGCCCGTTGAGGTTCTTTTCTCTCTTATGCTGGTTAGCCTGACCGGGTTCGCAAGTATGAATATGTTCATCACTAACTGTGCAAGCCCTCCTTTCGTCAATGACAGGGGTGCTGATATCCTGCGAGCTGTGGTTTGCTTCCTGTCGCTGGATTTCATTCGACTGACTTGACTGACTTCGTAAGAAGTACTGATCAATGCGAGGCCCTTGTCCCTTCTCCCTCAAGCATTTAATTTTTTTGTCATTTCATTTCATAAATGCATTGACTGTCACTTTTGCTCAACTGAATGCCTCCTTTCTGAATAAAAGTTTAAATTAAATTATATATATATATATATATATATATATATATATATTACCGATCCCAAAAGTTTGAATAGCAGTGCATGAGGCACCATTAGTTGAATGTGTTTTGACTAGGGCTGTCAATCGATTAAAATTTTTAATCTAATTAATTACATACTCTGTAATTAATTAATCTAAATTAATCGCATACACAATCTTACAATGTTTACAAGGTACAATTTCTGGTAAGCTACGTTTTTATTATTATTGCTTGACACAAATTTCACGATTTCAATTTAATTTAATTCTTGTGATTTGATGCAATATTGACTCATTTGGATAAATATACAAGATAGGCATTCATTTTTCTCAAGAAACAAAAAATCTCACCCAATGCTGTAAAAATACAGAGAGCCATATCAGCTGGTAATATTTAAGGTTAAAAATAGCTCAAATTAAATATAATGTGTGTTTATTACAAATAACAAATTTGATATAAGTAAAAATGTAATACATAGGTAATATAGTAGTAGGCTACATAAATTTAGAAAAACACTCTCTATAGCTCTTTTTTATAGCCAACTATAACGTGCTATCATATGGTCATGAAATGGCTTTCCTGAGGTAACTTAGGCTAAATGTTATGTGACATAATTGTTCTCCAGCTGTTTTATTGACCTCTTTTCGTGGTTGAAAAACACTGATTGATCGAGGAATATACATTTCGGTAAGTTTTAGGCTGCCCTACTTCATCTTTCAACATTGTTCATTCGTGTTTATTTACTATTAGCTAGAGATGATCGGTTCACGTGCCGCTATAGGGATCTGTCATGTCACATTTACAAGCGCCAACGGTATTTATTGTTTGATTTTCGTAATAAAATTGACAGAATCTGAGAGCTGAGATTTTTTTAAAGCATAATAACGTCTGTCTTGTCTGTTTCCGTGTCCTCTCTTTGGTGCGCGATTTTTCTGTGCGTGAGAAAATGGTTGTGTGACGTGAGAGCGCGTGAAAAGTTACAACACACACACACACACACACACACACACGCACAAGCGCGCTTTCTCTCAGACACACTCACCGACTCACGCACACACTCCTGGATGCTTTGCATTGATGTGGTACTTAGAGTTGACGAACTCCGTCAAACAATGATCCAAGCAGCGCGTTCTTGTCTCCCTCCTTTTTACACGAATGGTGGCTACGGCTAGAACGGCTCCGCAAAGGTCAAAACGGAATGGATTAATCTGCGTTATTTTTTTTAACGCGTTATTTCTTCTCAGATTAATTAATCGAAATTAACGCGTTATTTTGACAGCCCTAGTTTTGACATTTTGAGGGTGTTTATGTGCATACCCATTGGAGCAGGACTGTAAGAGGCCATGCAAAGATGCTGATAGAAGAATACAGAAGAGATAAGGAAACAGGTAGGGATGCAAAAACTGTACTGGTTTGATTTCATCAGACTAAAGTATTTACATGGCATTTAAAAAAGATACTGAAATTGAATTGTAAACATACTAAGTGTGAAGCTGGAGGACAGAGAATCCTACAGAAATAAAAAAATAGAACGCAGTGTATGAAGAACATAAGTTTACTAGATCAATGAAATAAATTGCAAACATGTAGTTCAATATCTGTTTCTTTACCTGGAGCGCTAAACTGTCGTACTGATGTGGCTCTGGTCTTGTCGTAGACTCTGGTAAGAGAGCAGCCTTTAGAGACTGTCCATGTGCTAGACCTGCTGTCTCTCTCCTCCACTGTGTCATATACCTCCATGTGGGGCGGCCGCTCAGTCAGGTTTTTACTGTAATGACTCAGGCCATACTGAGCTATCTGGATAGCATAGAAATACCCTTGAGGGCCCCATTGGGTGGATAAAGGAACTCCTATAGGGAAGAAACAGAAGTAGAGATATGAGAGATAACTGGGTGTTAAACTGAGATGAGAGAAAAGTAGCAAATTTATATACACTTTTTACAGGGTTTTTACAACCGTTTTACCTTTTTACTTTTAAACATCTGCTGCTAGTAATCACAGTGGTACTCACATTGATATTGCCAACAAACAGAGTATCAGACTCAGAAGTATAATGTGATGCACATAATAAAGCAAAGTGCCTAAAAGTCCCCTTAAAAAATGACAACCGCAATATAGACCCAAATACAGCATTGGACTCCAACAAAAACCAACATAAATAATGATTTCTCTGAGTAACATAGGTTATTAGCCTTTAGACTTCTTTTTCGGTTGCCAAGCAACATTAGCAACTTGCCTTATTAACACAAAATTCAACATTCACAAGTGTACATAAGACAAATATTAAGCCTAAAATGGTCAAGCTAAACAGTTGGTATAAGATGTTAACCGTTTTATAATAATAGCTTTACTGTTGAGTCTTTCTTTTTAACTCAAGTCTGATAATGTGAAGCAGTGGTTTCTGCACTGAGATGCCATCTTCATTCATTATAAATAATCTTGTTTCTGGTTTCATGGCTTCTAAACAATTTTACTGGCAAGTACTGACAAGTGAAAACATAAACCCTTCAATTAGCCAGAGATATACAAAAGAGCGGTGAACACAGGAAGGACAAAGCCACTGAGGCAAACAGTCTTCAGTTAGTATCAGTTACCTTGATCTCAAGCATGAAGTTGTTCTGTCAGAGTTATAGGTCAGCGGGCTTTCATTAACTCTCTCTCTCTCCCTTTATTTTTCCATTTAACCACAGCTCATCTATTCTACATCCTGACATGACAATAATCAAGCCACAGGCAAAACACTGCGACCGCACTGCTGGTTTATTGCTGGCCTTAAAGCGTCTATTCACAAACATACACATAAAAAACCACATGCAGGGTTAAACACAGACATAACAAGGCAATATAGATGACAAACACACCAATGAGACTGCCTCCTGCTTTCCAGGATGCACACACACTGGCTCTAAGTGGGACCTGTATCAGGAGGCAATTGGGCACTCTGGAGGCGCTCTCTGGCCTAGATACTATTCAGAGCACTCTGATCCTCAGCTAAAGGAGACGCCATCCCTCAAACTGAAGGAGGAGGAAAAAGGATCTCTCTTTCACTGTCACCATCCGTACTCATCTCCTTTTCATTCCTTTTTATTCTCTCTCTCTCTCCTTCAGTAGAGACTGATGAGTCTGTCTGCTGTCTCTGATAATAGGCTCTGCTCTAACACACTGCCGCAGGCTCATGTGGGTTATTACCTCGGAGCTCAACACACTGTTTTTCTGTCTCTGATGCCCGGGATTAGAACGAGGGGAACAGAACCTCTAATTAATCTTTGTTTTGTGCATTTGCAACACCTTTAAAAAATGAACATATTTCATACTACAGTGGATTAAATCTGCCGAGGAGATCAATACCTCTTTCTGTTGCCGTAATAATTTGGTGCCGGACACTGTTAAAAATACATGCTAACAGATTACCTTAGTGAGATCAAAAAATGACAGACAGAGCAGGTCGCACAACCTTCTCACCGGCACCTTAACAATCCTTATACACTGGACTCAAGCCTGAGCTTAAATGTCACACTTGCACTTTAAGGCTGCTCTCGCTTTAATTTTCCATGGATACCAGAGGAGATTCAGAGGCAATGCTTTAAACCTCAGATGATTCCCTACAGGCACCTTCATTCCAACATAGTCATTACTGCTACAGAGCTTCTTTGTAGCGTGCAGAACAGAGAGCGGTTCCATGTAAACAGCCTCTGAGTAATGGACAGGCTCTTGGTTATGGAGGAGAGGAGCCTAGAAAGAAAACAAAAGGGGACTGGTACAAACTCCATCGTTTTTGAACTGCCACAGACATTGAAGATTTCATCTCTACTTACAGACAACCCAATTTTTCCACCTGACACACAGGAATATGGTATGAATGTGCTTCTTTGTGATGCTACAAAAAAGGGGGTTCTTAGAATGCGCACATGGAACAAGGTCCACATGTTTTAAAAGCTTTCATCAGAAGAGTTGACAGTGGTTTAATCTTGAATGCTGATCAATAACTTTTAGCTGATCTAAACTTTCAGTATTTTAAGTACTGTAGAATGCTTTATTTATTTTTTTAAGCAAGTGTGCAATGGTTTGTTCACAAGCTTGTCATTGGTTACATCGACGTACTCTCGCATATGCAAACAAACAGACTCAGTCTGCTTTTTATTTGATTAATTTCCATTTCTTAGAAAATTCTCCCACTTTGTTTTCCATCCTGTGAAGCACTGCGAGAGACTTCACCGTCTTTAGTGAATAGAAATGTTGTGGTTTGGATGGAGGGCATTCTTTATAGTCCAGTATTGATCAGACCGACCTCATTTTCAATACTTCCTTAAGAAGTGATTTTTTCATTACCCAGTCTCATTATAAAAGGAACACAGAAGAGTGAAAGGCACCGAATGAATCTCTATTCTCTTCAGAAAGCATTACAAACTTTGTGTTAATAGCTTTGATATGATGGTGGTGGTAGCCTGATGGTCAGAGATCTGAGCTCTTAACACAAAGCCTGCAGGTTCAATAGCTTGTTTTCATATGACGTCACGCCACTGCGTTGCCATGGCGCGAAATGCAAATGGAGGGCAGGAAGTGATTTGCTATATTTAGAAAGCACTATAACAATCTCAAAATGCCTATGTTTTGCGTCGTTTATGGTTACTTAAATCAATCAAACCACGAGGAGTTTTTATTGTGTACCAAAAGTTGTTGTTCATAAGGGGGGAAATGCAAGAAATTGACCGAAAAACTCTGGGAAAACGGCTTGCAAACCTACGTCTGCGGTCGGGAGGAGCCGAATGGGAAAATGCCCGTGTGTGCAGTGATCACTTCGTCAAAGGTGAGTTAATACAACTTAAGTGGCTATGTTTGTGTAACGTTTCCGAACTTTGTAAAGTCAAAGTATGTCTGTAAGACGAGGTAGTTGCTGATATCTACCGTCTCGATGGCAGGAAAATCTTTCAATTCAGTTGAAAAATCGCTCCTCTTCATAACGTAAGGATCACGTCCAACATATGTTTGATTTTTTGTTTATATCTTTCTCTTGTAATAGCGTGTAAAGTAGTACAGTACGGACTTTCCTCCATCTCGTCAATTGCGCTCTTCACTCCCTGCCCTCCATCTGAATTTCGCGCGTCATCATAATCACGTGACTGAAACCCAGCTATTCCAGGTGATCCAAGAAATGCAGTGAGACTGAGGTTAGCTCTATCACTGTGATGCCTTGAACAGGGCACTTAACCCTGTCTGCTGAAGGACAGTCCTTACGAAGAGATAGAGAGATGGAGAGAAGAGTGAGCCAGCAGGAAATGGTTGAAAGTAATCTGTCAGGGCAGAGAAACAGTGATGGATCACTGACACAGCGGAGAGACAAATGTGGTTCCTGGACAGTAAAACGCCTCTGAAGGACAAAACCCAGACCACCATAATCAGCTTTTTCTCATCAAGGAGTGTCATCTCTCAGTTCATTTTAAAATGCTTGTCATTTAGGTTCTTTTACAAAAAAATATATATATTCTGCTTTAATTTGATTTTGCTTTTTCTCATTGAGATTCACTAGAAGACACATGGGAGTCTGAGTGCAAAATTATTCTCCATTACGTCTAAGGTCATCAAATCAGCTCTTGTGATTCAGTTCTTGGCCGAATCAATCCCACTTTCATTTGCTTAATGTAAAGTCCATTGAGGGTGCATTACTCACTAAGAACCAGACGTAGATCATTCAAGCCTGGCTTCCAGGAAACTCCTCTTGGACTGCACTAAATGACTATTAATGGCCACTAACAAGTTGTGTTAGAACTGAGGCAGGTCGCTTTGCCTCTCACTTCTCCCAGTGTGCCACAATTAAGTGCTGCTTTAATGTGACATGCATTTAGGTGAATCTTGATGATGAGAGAGAAAGTAACTGTGATTTTACAGAGACACATTAGGAGAGCCAGTTAAGAGTAGGCCCAGGCAGAATATGCTGACATTTCTCACATTTTCTGCTCTAATTATGAAGGGTAAAACCAGCAGAACAGATTTAAACATGGTAAAACGGGTATGCTGAGAATACTATACTTTTATTGGCAGCTGAATACATACTAATGACCGAATGTATAAGGTGATGATACACAGGGCAACTTTTTTGAGCAATGTTGCCAGGCAATGTTGCTCGGGCACTTTCCCATTGAGAATGGGCAACAAATTTCTACCTGGATATTTTAGATCGGTCGTTGGTACTGTGTCTCACCTGGATGCCCGTTGACGGCAACATTGCCCAAAAAGTTGCCCTGTGTATCATCACCTATAGCCCAAACAACCGATGGCAACCTAGCCCACATCTCTGAGATGCGCCAGATTACGTCATCATGTTGGAAAGGTCACACGTGACATCGTTAAACATCCAGGATATGCACGCGTAAGGACCATTTTAAACAATAAACTGACACAAATAAATGTGTGTCATTCAACATACAATAACTGTGAACGGTCCTCCTACTCCAAACTTGTAAACACTGGGTCGGTACTTCTGACTACGTCACGTATGACCTTTCCAACGTGAAGACGTTGCAAGACGGGCATTTGTGGTTAAAAAGTATATAATTTGTATTTTTTTTAGAAGATGACCGATCATTTCGCTAGATAAGACCCTTATTTCTCGACTGGGATCGTGTCGAGCCTTTGAAGCTGCATTGAGACTGACATTTGAACCTTCAAACTGTTGGTTGCCATTGAAGTCCATTATATGGAGACAAATTCTGGAATGTTTTCCTCAAACACCTTAATTTCTTATAAACTGAAGAAAGAAAGACATGGACATCTTGGATGACATGGGGGTGAGTAAATTATCAGGAAATTTCTATTTGAAAGTGAACTACTCATTTAAGATCCATCTCAGGTGGTGAGATCACATGGGAGCATTCTTAAGTACTAATCAAAAAATAAAGTTTTGGTAATTACATTTGGGTAATTGAACCCAGTATGCTGTTCAGGGTTTTGTTTTCTAACGTTATAAATTAAACCAGTCAAAGTGAAGTTCTTCAGGAACTCTGATATTTCATCCAAATTTTTTTTTACAAAATTGTACTTTTAAATTGCTACTCTACCATAATTTTTGGTGAAGTGCGTTCACACTGTTGACATGGTTTACTTCTTGTCGCTTAAGTTGTGTGCATGAAATAGATAATAAAACAGTCAACATTCATCATCACAGAAGTGCTAATTAAACATCAATTAATTATATGATTTTGGTGCTCCAAAACTTTCATCCGAAACAGAATATTTATGTTTCTGCTGTTTTAGTCAAATATTTTCAGCTGCCAAAATTGATGCATCACTATTAAATACAGTTGTAAACAGTGCCTAGGTCATGCATAGGGCCACATTTGACAAATGTTAATAGACACCTCAGCATAGCAATTCTAAGCAACCATTATCAGATAAGACCGATCAAATGTGAAAAGGTATCACTATTAAAACAAAACTCACCTTCAACTCCACTAATGCACTTGACTCTGTCACGCACCTCCACGTTATACCCCTCAAATGACATGAAGACTCCGTTGGGGTGGTACTGCTCTCTCTGGGTGTATACTTTAGAGTAACTGTGCGAAAACTCAAATCGATCGTAGCCATCGTACTGCACCACCTTCCCGTAGACCTCAAAGTACTTCTCCATCCAGCTGAACGGCAGGTATACCTCACTACCTTCTCGACGGCCCTTAATGGTGACATCGTCGTTGATCAGGCAGTCAATCTCTTCGTAGCGTACTCCGCCGACCACAGGTGGAGGTTCGGGGGGCTGGGCCTGCTGCGGATGGCTGTCTACTTTCGGGCTGGGAGGGGGCTGGGGGTGCCGGGGCAGAAAGCGCAGCGCTTTCTCACTCGTACACTTGTTCCACAGAACGACCGTGAGCAGAGAGAGGAGAGCGCAGATCACTATCAGGGTCTTGTAGTGAACACGGGCTGCCAGACAACGCATCATCACTGCTTACCTACAATGTAAACACAAACGTACATTAACACACATTCTATGGAAAACCCATAGCCTGAACTGCAATGACAGGCAAACATGCAATAAAATAGTTACACTCCCCCCACTACACCAGTGACATTTTAGATTTAAGCTATCGAGTAATCAGTAATCCAGTCAGAGGAAATTTTATGCATACCTACATGGAATTAATCAGAGTTTAAAAGGTCCAATCAATATTTTTCCCTCTGCATGAATAATCAAATGCAGCATTAGAGCAATTCAATATCTGTCTGGATGACTGTGTACACGGTTTTGCATATTGCTTTTAAAATTCATAGCAGCAGGGGAAAAGTATTTATTTTTTGTTCTATGTTTGTTTATTGTTATGGGTATAATGTGTAGCCTTCGTCAAAAAACATGCACAATGGAGACTGTTCAAGTGCCTGTTCAAAGGCACAATAAGTTTTTAGTTTCAATTTAGTTTTTTTAGTAAATTAAAAAAAAAATTTAATTTCAGGTAGTTACAGTACCTAGGCAAAATTTAAGTATTGTAAGTTAACGTTATATTTAACGTCATTCATAAAGTTAACGTAATATTTATATTTTATTTTAGCCTTCATTTAAATGAACAAAAATTATTTTAAGTTTGGTTAACAATAACAACTCTGCATTCGAGTCAGTCAACAATTTCCATTCAAGAAAATCGTAATCACACAAAAATAATCTGAATAAAGCTCATGAGATGATATATAATGATACTGGTCTGATAATATTTTAATTTAAGTATAGATTATTCATTCATATAACCTGTTAAGGAAAAGTCACATGCCTTTTTAAAAAATGCAAATCTAGAAACTTATATGTGTTTCCACTTTAGTTTATGTGTTATTACAAAATAAAAAAAGGTATCCATTCCATATCATGAAAGCATAGAAGTTTTTTTTCTTTTTAGATACTTTTCACATTTTGGTTCCATCATTTTTTATGTAATATCCCAAAATCTGCATAAAAATATAAGGATGCAAAGCCAAAAGGTAGTTTATTGTGTCTACTGTTCTTGCAATAGTGACAAGTATAACAGGAAAGAAAGAATTCAATATTCTCTACACATCTTTCCTCTTTCACAAACCATATTGTGCTTCTGCGGTTTCTGTACTAGGGAGAGAATCACATTACTTCGTAAACGTAGCTCATAACGCAAATCAGCAGCCTCTCACTCATATCATCTCTTCTCTCTTTGGCAATAAAAATCAATACGCAGAACAGCACTGCCTCTCACCACAGCTAATTACTGTGCTGGGTTTAGCATGGACAACACGCCAATGCCATCATTAGCAGTCCACACCACTGTCAAACTACAGCTAAGACTAAGGTCAACCGAGAACGAAAACGCATCAATCCATCAACCCAAACGAAGTGCCAAATATTGCTACACACTCCATATTTAATGAACCGAGCAAAAAGGACCCAGACGTGATGAATGGTAGCCGTACATACAGGCCTTCATCCTGGCCTACATGTGTATTAGGTGGAAACCTTATTTCATAGTTCTGAAAAATTCACTGCTATGGAAGATCAGAGCAACTGAATCATTCTGTCTTCCAATCTTCCCGTTTAATCCTCTTTGCAGAGTTTGCACTTGTTTCACAGACCTGCGCTCCATCTCTTTCTAATCTCTTTCCCCTTTACTTCGTCTTCCCCACGTCGTCTCCGCACCCTCTGTTCAGAGCATGCAGAGCAGAGCAGCGTCTGACTGCATCGTGAAAGATAAGCAGCTCATCTTGTTTGCTGAGGCTATAAATAATTTGATCTTTTTGGCTTTCACAGGCAGAGTTCACATGCCGTTACTCTGAGATTCAGGGACATACTCAGAAAGTGCTGTCTGAATCCTACCGCAAAGCACCTGATCAAGCCTGCCTGATGGAGCATCTGGATCAGGCGGCCCAACGCAGTGCAGGGTGCATCTGTGTACAAGGATAATTTGCATTCAAATCCACTAATATGCTGGAGATATGGCTGAGCTCTGTATAATCCAGAGATCAAACTAAAAACAGGAGGAACATGGTTGTAATCCCTTCTCTGAACAAGTGGCATAGCGGACTTAAAGGAAGAGTACACCACGTCCTAGAGAGCATCATACCACGCTAGATTTAAGAAAATGGCTTTTCGTTGAGGGGCTTACAGCTGGTAATAGGAGTCAGGGATGAATGCGGTTTAACAATGTGCCATCCCCATAGCCACAGCTGTGGCCGATCGGCTCCTTCTAGGAGAATAGAGCTGAGCTGACTTATTAAACGCAGTGCTCTTAAAAACAGAATTCAAAACAAGCACATCCATCTCAGCAGAGCAGTCCCCATTAGAATGCGCTTAGCGCTGTCTCAGTCGCAGCGACTACCTGACGCTGATCACGCCCCCTCTGAATCCACATGTTGATTCATGAGCTGCTCTTTCATCTAATGCAGGCTGCTATCGATTCTCCGCATCTTCAGTTGTTTCCTGCTACCTGGATCACGACCTTGACACACACAGCTGCCCTGGTCAATCCAAAAACAGCAGTATAACTGTAATCTTATAATTAATCAATATAATGGTATTAATTAGTGCAAAAGTATCTTCAGATGATGTAAAATTTGAGTTACCAAAAAAAAAAAAACCCAAATAGTTATATTAAGTAATATTTTAAACAAGCGAACGCCAAAATCCAGAACTGATCAGGATCAATTGGTTCACGGAAATTGGTGGTCTTCTTTTTAATATGTGGCTCCAGTATAGCGAGCAAAGCATCAAACTGTACCACTGACATCCTGAAGTAAACTTAGAATCGCTCGGGATAATCCCACAGCTCGTTGTTCTTGATACTCTTCTTCCTCTCTATGAAATCTCAAGATTGGACAGACCCAATATTTCCTCTTTCTTTTTCTCATTTTAAGAAGAGAGAGGACAACAAAATCATCCTCACTGCTTGAAGACTCCATTTTGCACTGTTTTGCGATTTTTTTCCGCAACGGATTAATTAATATGCATCTGGCTCAGTGTGCAAGGTTTCTGTGTGAGACAAATTCTTAGTATCACGAATGAGAAAAACGCATATGAAAAATTCAGACTCAGTGTGCAAGAAACTTTAATAACAAAGTCTTCCTTGTCTTGATCTGTTTCAAAATTACTTTGTTTCATATGTAGCAGTCTAGCCCACTGATAATATATCTACCACGGTGTGAAAGACAGTGAAATCTCTACTGGTTGACATGTCTACGATCGCATGGTATATACAGCCTTAGGCCGTGTGTCCACCAAAGCGTTTTTCCACGCGCCTGGCGTATGTTTTCATTTGTTATCAATGGGAGCGCCGCGTTTTCTAAACGCCATGAGCGTAACGAGGCGCTGAGCAGTTTTTTCACGCTGAACCGCTGAGCGCCCGGCGTTTTTTACTGGTTGCCGAGATTGAAAAATGTTCAACTTTGGGTAAAACGCAGCGCTCATCACTGTCACTTTTGTCCCAGCCGTCCAATCACAGTGGAGGAGGGGCGGGACTAAACCACACTGACCAACTGTCACAACATTCTTTCTGTACAAAGACATCAACCAGCAGAGCTAACCGAACAAAATGGATGAAAAATATTTTTTTAGTATGAAACAAATTATCTGCGAAATCAGTTACAAGTAAACTGTGCTGCGGATATTCTGTATCAACGAAACGTCTCAATGGAAAAAACGCTGCGCTGCCAGAACGCTCTCAAGCGCCCAAAGCTAGGCGTCTTCAGCAGAGCGTCTAGCGTTTTCAGCTGGCTAAAAACGCTTTGGTGGACACACGGCCTTAGGCCGCACCATCCCAGGCTGCTGTCCTCTGCTGGCACCTTGAGCTCAGGAACAGTGGGAGGTATTGTTGACACATGAAAGGCCATCAGTGAAGGGGGGACAGGGCTGGCACAGGAGAGCTGGGTGCAATGAATACCAAGCTTTCAGCTCATTTGTCACCACAACCCACACAGACCTGCTCCTGAGACTGCACGCCTGTCCTCCCTACTCCGGCCTGCCACAGGCTCTTCATGCAACACCAGACAATGCAAAGAGGAGCTGGAGCCCCACTGATTATTATTATTATTTTTTTTTACATTTATACTACATGTTATAATGAGTAAGTTATGGTAATCACAATCAATTGTACTAAAGAGAATGAAAGCTTTAAATGTTGGCTTTAGAATTAGAAAATCTTACAATGGGGAACAATGTGACAAATCTAACCACAGGGTATTTACTAATGTGCATGTTTAATCCACTATGAAACTTCTTTCAAAACTGAAAGGTTTTGTGACAAGGGTTTGGCAGTGAAAGAAACAGATAGCGAATCTAAGACCTATTTAAGGAAACTTAATAAGGGTTAAATGGTATCCAACCGCATTTTGAAATGCCACAGGGAATAGGATTTCCTGCTCTATTACACAACATATTAATCACAGAATACCTCAAATATGAGCCATTGTGCTGGCTCGTACATCTCAAACCAAACACAGGAAAGAAATTACCTCAAGTCTCCTGAGGTAAGATTTTGATCATACCCAATATGGCTTCTGGAAAAGAAGAGCAAGACTCAGATGGGCTGTTACACCCATGTTGACGTCTTTTGTCATTCATTGGCTGGTTGGAGCTGTAGTCTACAATTTGCCAACTGCCTGCAAACAGCTGCACAAAATTGTTAGCATAACAGAAATCCCTGGCTAAATTGGCAGTCAGAATTCAGCCCTGGATCATGGCAACCTAACTAGAGGTGAGTAGCCTAGAAATCTAGACGCACCCTAACGGCAGCAAAAATTATTTTGCAGCCAGTGTGGTCTAGCAACTCTCCGTTGGCTTTCGAAGTGGAAAAACCAAACTCTGGTCAGGCCAATCACATCGTGTATAGAGTTGGTGGGCGGGCTTAACACAATGACGGCAGAGATGTGACGGTTCTGCGCCGTGATTTCCCTGCTACTTGAAAACAAACAAGATGCTGCTGGCGAACAGTGGTCTTTCGAATCGGCT